GCGAGGTTTACTTTAATCGTACGTTGCTCTATTGTCGTATCTGGGAGGGGATCTGAAGGAATGGGCCATTGGTTCTGAGGTAGGCGTAACCATTCTGGCCCGTGCCACCCCAGCTCATTGTTGATTAACACTTGTGGTGGGGCACCTCTGCTCGCTAGGTCCGCTGGATTGTACTCGGATCGTACATGGGACCATTTATTGGAGTTGGTGGCCTTAGTAATTTTTGCGACTCTGTTTGCTACAAAGGTAGTCCAGGCGCATGGTGGCTTATGAAGCAAAGCTAGCATAATTGTGGAATCTATCCAATAGAACCAGTCGCCGCCAGCGGAAGGTAGCTGGGGACTGAGTGCAGCGGATAACTCTTACAGAAGTGCTGCTCCGCACAGCTCTAGTCGTTGCAAGGATACCGTCTTGACCGGAGCGCTGTTAGGAGATGTACTGAGATGCGATCTTGTATCTTATGCACGCTGCAAAGCGGCACAAAACCCGTGGTATTGAATAGTCCCCTGTGGGCGGAATTCGACCCATCTAGGGATGCGAATAGCACTAAGGCCCGGATACTCTTGCAGAAATGAATTCCACTTACTGAGAAGACTCTCAGGTAGCGGATCGTCCCAGCCCAGTTCTTGGAGCCAGATCTCCTGCATGAATATTTTTGCCTGAATAATGACTGGACCCAGCCAACCTGCTGGATCGAACAGTTTGGCCATCTGTGAAAGGACTTCACGTTTGGAGACGGACTGTTTGGTTGTTAGCTCGGATGGAGCGAAAAAGAACTCATCGGTGTCAGCTTTCCATCTGATCCCGAGAGTCTTTGCCGAACAGGCTTCTTTGATCTCTAAGAAGTCGGCGCGAAGCAAGTGGTCCTTGGGAATCGCTCTTAGCAAGTCCTTTTCATTGGATGTCCATTTTCGCAAGGGGAACCCGGCAGATTCAAGGGCTTTGCGGAGTTCTGCAATTGCTTGATCTGCCGTTGATTTGGAATTGGGTCCCGCTAGTACATCGTCGACATACATATTGTTTGCGATAATGTGACTTGCTAGGGGATAGAGCGAACGAACGTCACTGATGTAGTACCCGGATGGCTAAAAAGGGAACACAGTTAACTCCAAACGTGACTGTGCCGAGTTCGAAGTCACGAAGTTCGTTGTCCTTTGTTCGAAACAGAATCCTCTGATAGGGCGTGTGTTTGGGATGCACAAGTATCTGCCGATACATTTTCGTGATATCGGCGTTGAAGACATATCGGAAGAAGCGCCATCTTAGAATTTGAATGGTTAAGTCGAATTGCAGAACGGGCCCTGCATGATTCACATCGTTCAGACTTTTACCATTCGATGACGGGTGGGTGGCATTAAATACAACGCGGAGCTTGGTCGTGGTGCTGTCAGGCTTGTGAACAGCATGGTGTGGTAGATAAAAGTTATCCGAACCATTGCTTGGAGGGACTTGTCGAATGTGACCTAAGTCCAGATATTCCTGGATCACCGCATCGTACTGCTCCTTAAGGGGGGCATTTTTTGCCAGACGATTCTCATTTCGTAGAAATTGAGCTAGTGCGATGGACCTTGAATGGCCTAAGTGGATGTGATCGGAATTCTTTAATGGTAGTGTGACCAAGTATCTGCCGTTTTTATCCCTTTTAGTGGTTTTTTGGAAAGTGCGCTCACAAAACAGGTCGGATTCCTTTTCCAGCTTTACTGGAATATCCTCCACCTCCCAAAATTTTGTGAGCAGTTTATCCAAGCTCGCATTGGATTCAGCGAGACTTGAGTCGAAAAGGATGCGACAGATCTGGCACTGGTCTTAGAAACGGGGCCTGTAAGGATCCAGCCGAAAATCGTTTCTTGACCAAGGAGAGTGCCACATATTTTGTGATGGGAACCACCTAACAATATGGATGGGAGGATATCGGCGCCGAGAAGCACGTCTATCTGTGAGCTTCTATAGAAAGAGGGATCGGCCAAGTGTAATTTTGGAAGTTCTTCCAAAGCGGTTTGGGGGATGGTGTAGGAGGGCAAATTGCCTGCTAGCTTTGGAAGAACATAAGCCGAGGTTTCAATATGAACCCTGGGCTTTATCGGAGAGCCAATATTAAAATGGCAAAGTTTTTGAGGTTGAGCTGAAATAGCTTGATTCAAACCGGAGACCTGTGCGTCGACGGGTTGATAAGGAAGTTTAACCCTTTTGAACAATCGCTCTGAAATAAAGGTCGCTTCAGACCCAGAGTCGATTAATGCCCGAGCTGTATACTTTGTGCCCAAATGACACACTTGGATGACAGCCGTGCCGAGGAAAACACCATGTGAGTTTGCGGAAAAGTAGTTTTGAACGGTAGCTTGGGTTGAAGTCGAAGTGGACTGTATAGACGAAGGAGGGTTCAAAACTATTGGTGTTGTGGAAGCTGAGGTCACCTGGGGTCTGTCACGGTGGAGCAGCGTGTTGTGACGTCCCTTGCACGTGAAACAACTATGTGCGCTGGTGCAGTCTTTCAACTGGTGCAGTCTGGCGAAGCAGTTTAAGCATAACTTTTGTTGCTTAATGACGGAAACTCTCTCGGGTACGGACATTTGTAGAAAACGTGGGCATAGACGCACGGAATGGTTTTCCTTCTGACACAATTTGCAGTGTTGTGACTTTGTAGTCACTGTTGCTTCGAAAGTTCTCAGGTGGTTGGACTCTTTTCTTGTGGGCTTGGACTGGGGTGGCGTATGTGCGGTAGGTCGTACATCCTCTATCGCCTCCAAGGTGCGATATCGGTCGATCAGAAATGAATTCATCTCGGACCATTGAGGTATCTCTGCCTTATCGTGGAGTGATTGTTCCCATAACGACATCGTGAGCTTAGGCAATTTAGAGGAGCACAAGAAAATAAGCAGACAATCCCAATTTTCCGTGCTCACCCTGAACAAGTCGAGAGCCGTTAAACATCCCTGGATTGTGCCCTGAAGCTCTTTAAGGGCGGCTCCAGACTCTTGTGTTGCTGAGGGGAGATTGAAAAGAATTTTCAGTTGACTATTGACTAATAGTCGCTTATTCTCAAATCTCTCCGTCAGGCTCGCCCACTGAAAGCTGACTGAAAGCCGTCATTCGTGAGCGGGGACTTGGAGACAATTGCCCTAGCTTCGCCGCTGGTTCTGGAATTTAGATGGAACAATTTTTCCACCGGCGTCAATCTTGGATTGTTAATATAAACCGCTGTAAACAAGTCTCGGAAAGTAGGCCAGCGTAGGTAATCTCCACTGAAAACTTCAGTGTCGCATGGCGGGAGACTGCAACCCCTGGACATGATGAAGTTGGAGGCGGTTTGCTCAGCTTGTCTATTTAAAGCCGTGGCTCTTTCTATTTTTTCACTTAGTTCAGCCGCACAACGCTCGTAAACGGAGTACGAGTAATCATGTTTGGCTTGCGTAGCCACCAGGTCACTGCTGCTGCAAGCGCCTTGGTTGAGAGCTTTGGAACATAAAGTCTTAATCTGATCTCGTCGGACTTGGAGAGTGAACAGTGACACGTCACTGTCCGCTGCGTCATTGATCTTCACTTCAAACTGGCCTAGTCGGTCAGTTATAGAAACAAAGTCGTTCAGTGCCATTTCGCTTGACTTCTGCATTTTTTGCGTAGTTGAACGGGTAATTTTTGGGATAATATCTCTTGTTGGAACCGGACTCACAGTCTTGCGGACGGTTGTGCTGGAACTCTCGACCTTGAGTTTCCCGAAAACTGCACTAGATGAGGTTAAAGGTCGCTTTGACTCCTTAACGGACGGTGCTGTGTGTCGTTTGTGGCTGTTTTGATCACCACCGATTGGCATACTAGGCTCTTCACAGAGCCAGAAATTGTAATAACCAGGTGAAATGTGATCAAATACAAATAATTTGAATCAGCCGAGCGAAAACGGACTAAGAAATGGCACAGGAACAATGGAATCGAGATATCAGAAAAAAATGGAATGACCGAAATGGCGTTCACTATTGAGTCCAACGAAATCGGAAAGTTTTGTTAAATTAATTATTTTACCAATAATTTACTAAATTGATGCTTATTGCTTATTAATTGTTGAGCTCAAGAAAAGGACGTTTATTCTAAACGCAGCTCAATGGAAGGTTTTCTGTCATAGAATTATTTGTATAATTTGTTATTTTATGAAAAATCGCACGGATATTCGATTTATTATGCAACTTGGAAACGTCTTGACTTATAATTATGATTTATAAATTTTTATAAGAATAAGAAAAAGTAATGCATATGTTTGTATTTTATTAAGTTAAGAACGCAGCTCAATGGCAAAGTGGAAACATACAAAATATAAAAGTTTCTCAGAAAAAGTGTATCGAAAAACGATCTTGATACTTGACAATCCTGATGTTTGTTTACCTTTTGCACTTGCCAATTAATTGGTAAAAATAAATGTATAAATTGATCTTGAAGCTGCAGTGGAGGAAAAATAGCAAACGATACACATATAATATGATGTGCGTGTGTGTGTATAGTTGCAGGTGAATTTGCACAGTGTGGTTGTAATTAACTAAAGACCAATCAGAATTGTGTGTCTTATTTTTTATATTTAGGTATGTGATTATTTGGTGAAGGTTAGAATGGAGAAGCGCATACACTTGTTGTTCAACGGAGCGAAAGCCTATGTGTGCAGATGTCTTGATGTAGTTGCGTACATCAATATGGCGATTGGTTAAATTTTTGGGTATGCACTTGTACATATATGTATATACATATGTACATATGTACAGACACCAATATGGCGACCTTATTGGAGTCACTTTCTGTTTTATTTGTTTTAATATTTGTCACTTTGTAGATGCCTTTATGGCCACAAACAATATTTTATTTGCGGTTTTTTGTTTTTGAATTTTTTAAACACAATTGCCACTCGCTTTAACCACGGACATGTGAAGCGAAAAAATATGTTCAGACACACAAATATGACTTAATCGGACTGGAGTTGCCGGAAATTTGGCAATGGACGAGTTGAGGTAGGTGCACTGCTACTTATCTGGTTTGAATGTGTAGCTGTTCCTGGGACCTTTTATTGCAGATCCACCAATGCTTGCTGGGGCGAACTGGACATGCCAAATGTAGCTGAAGTATCCGGCTCGAAGGACCAAAATGTTGTAGAAGGGCGTCTGCAGGGCTTCCAGCTGAACTTTGCTAATTCTGTATCGTTGGGGGAGAGTTTCTGCTATGCACAAAGGTGCAGGTTTTCGAGAAAACACGTTTCTCGCTTGCAGGTTATTTTTTCTTCTCTATTTTCAGAGTACATTACAATGTATTAGTGTAAGTGAGGTGAATTTCGTGTTCCCTGTACTGGTCCCGGAGTTACATGGCGGTTGGATGGCGACTGCCGGATACACTTCTTGTGTGAACACACTTGTGTGAACAACATATATACATATACAAATAAAAAATACATATACATCTACATTATTGTGGATGACGTTTCGCCCTCAAACTCATTTTCAAGGATTTATATGGAAAATTATTTGAGACGAGTTCCACAATTTTCGCAAAATCTAAACTTCTTCGGTAGAAATGCGATTCAAAGATATTTTGGGAGAAGTTTTAAGTCGTGTCCGATTTGCCTCAAATTTATTTTCAAAGCTCTACGCACGATGTGGGAAATTCCACCTACAACAGTGGTTAATTAGTTAAAAACGCAACTTTTTTGTTAACAATCGGATCGGCCTCAAACTCATTTTCAAAGATCTTTGCTCAAATTTATTTAGGGGTGTTACACACCTATTGGAAAATCCATCCATTGGTGGGAATGGCTGTCAAAGATTTGGTGGGTGAAGTTTCGCGCTTAAATTCATCTCCAAGGATCCATTATAAAAATCAATTGAGACCTGTTTTAGATTTTTCGCAGAAAAAAGGTGCAATTCAAACATATTTTGGGGATGTTTTAATTTTTTTCGATTTGCATCAAAATTATTTTTAAGGCTATACATAACAACTTCATGAATATGTGCTTTAACGATTTGACAAATTCAACCCGCAACAGTGGTAAATTGGTGGAAAACGTTGGTATGAAAGTTGATTATTTAATGTCCGATCAGTTTTAAAATCAATGTCAAACCTTTTTGAGAGCATTTATTTAATACGTGCCAGGGGCAAGGTCGGGCTATACCCGCTAGTATATTTTATATGTATTTTAAGTAATTGGAGTGATCAAACGAGAGTGAAACAATTAAGAGGTTCTAGTCTGGAGCTTCCGACTATGGGATACCCTAAACCCTCTTCTTCCAACATCAAATGTATATATATATATTCTATTTTAGGGGTTATGTCAAGTTTGGTGACTTTAGCTCTTATTATTTACCAAAATTGCCAAAAAAAACGGGATATCCATATCGATTTTTATCGATTGCTTGGAAACGAAATAAGTTATCGATTATCGGAAACAAACTCGATCTGCTCGAGAACTAGGAGCACCTACATCTAAAATTTCAAGTCTCTAGCTCTTATAGGTTCAAAGAGACTTGCGTTCATACATACGGACGAACGGACGGACGGACAGACAGACAGACGGACGGACGGACGGACAGACGGACATGGCTAGATCGACTTGATGCTGATCAAGAATATATATACTTTATGGGGTCGGAGATGCATCCTTCTGCCTGTTACATACATTTGGATTTTGCACAAATACAATATACGCTTATACCCATTTTTAATGGGTTCAGGGTATAAATATGAGTAGCAACCCGCAAGAAAACCATAATGATAACCCGACATCAGCAGTGGCATCTGTGCCAACTCCTGCATTGTCTACCGATCAGTGGCTTGCTATTTTGGAAATGCATTATCGGAATTTTATGGAATTGCACATTTCCATAACGCAGGCGTCTGCGAGTCAGCAAAATCATGTGGATTTACCAAAATTTAACCTCAATGGTGTGCAACAGCAAGCAAAATTATAGATGAGCAGCCGGTCGATGGAAGCGCGGTTATTGTGTTGTTGAGCAGCTGTATGTAGGGCAGTGCTTCACCGTGGCTTACGCAGATCTGTTATCCCGGGAACAGTTCAAAGAATTGTTTGTGCAGCGTTTCGAAATTAAGGAAACTTCAGCAGCTACATTCTTGAACCTGCTGCGAGTGCCTTGCACTATATGCAAGCCGCATGGTCACGACCCTAACATCAAAATAGCGAAACATGAGTACAGAGGAAATAGCTGCATCAACTGTGCTTGCACGCATGGCAAATTTCGACAGTCGTTTGCAGCGCATGGTGTTCTCGTCCAATATACAAACGAGAAGTCAACTTCAAATGGAACTGACAAAAAGCGCAGTGCTAAAGTTTCTGATGAAGGTAGTGGTGACTACAAGCGAGCAAAAGTTGTGTGCCACTTACGCAAGAAAACAGGACACAAAATGGCGGACTGTAAGCTTAAACGTTCTGAATCGGAAAATAAACCACAGCGAGACTTGCGGAGTGTAAACTGTTACCGATGTGGACAACTTGGACATCTTGCAATTCGCTGCGCGAGTAATGCAACAAAATCTGGAGTGGTTTCCGAGAAGAAATGTAATCAGTGCTCTGTGTCTGTGCCAAAGGAAGTTATGATACACCGAGGTGAGGCCTTTCCAATTTATTTTGACTTTGGAGCGGAGTGCTCGCTTATTCGAAGCAGTGTTGCCGATAATTTTGATGGCAAGCTCCAAAAGTTATGCATATGTTCGATTAACGCAAATATCATAAAAATACTATTTTATATATATTATTATATCAGAAAAGCATCTCACCAATGATATTGTAATCTGCTCCTTCATTTAATATTGATACTGAATTACTTGGTATCGACAAAGAAAACTTGACTAAATAACTTAAAAACTATTCAGCAGCATTTATTGATGGTATCTCTTGCACAAAGGTTAATACAGGTGAAATCACCATTAGGTTAATAGACCCTTACAAGACGGTGCAGAGGCGTTCATATAAATTTAATTAATTGTTAAACTGTAACATCATTTGACCTTGTTGTTATTCCTATCCTAGTCCTATATTATTGGTTAAAAAGAAAAATGGATCAGACCGCCTTTGCATTGATTATCGTGAGCTAAACACCAGTACGGTTTCTGATAGGTTTCCTTTGCCACTTATTAATGACCAAATTGCTCAACTCAGGGGTTCAAAGTATTTTACGTGTTTAGATATGGCTAGCGGGTACCATAAGATTCACCCTGATACTATTGAATATACTGCTTTTGTGACATCTGAAGGGCAATACAAGTATTTGGCAATGCCAAATACGTGATAGTGTACATGGACGATATCATGGTAATATCACCAACAATAGAATTGGGTTTTGAGAGATGTGCTGACTACGGCTGGATTCTCATTCAATATTGCTAAATGTAGGTTTCTAAAAGCTACTGTAGAGTACATGGGGTATGTGGTGCGAGCTGGAGAGTTGGGACCTAATCCGCCACCAACAATTAGTAGTGTGTGACAATTCATTGGATTGGGGTCTTATTTCCGTAAATTCGTGCCTCAATTCTCTCAGATTATGAAACTGATATATTCACTAACTTCGAGCAAAAACGTTTAGTTGGAATGATGAATTGAAAGCAAATAGAAAACAAATCATTGCGGTTCTTACAAATGAGCCAGTGCTTATAATATTTGACCACAGTATCCGAGGCAATTTATATGCAAGGAATATTTTAGTAAAACAACTTCCCCTGCTGAGTCCAGATACCATTCTTATGAATTGGAAACCTTGGGAGTTGTTAAGTCTGTCATGTTAGGCATTTTCGGCATTATTTGCTTGGTTGTGAATTCGTTGTGTATACAGATTGCATATTTACAGTCTTGGCAGGATGCTCTTGGCGAGGTACAGCTTGCGTTGAATTAGTTAACAGTTAGTAATTGGGTATTAGAAAACGTAAATAACCAGGCTACGACAAAATCAGATTCGATAAAAATAAATCGGCTGTCATTAGACACAAAGTTGAGGACTATGTTCTATTGAAAAATGAAGAGCGGCATCAGACCATGCTGGATGCAAAGTTTAAAGGACCAATTTTGGTTAGTGAAGTTTTAGAAGGCGACAGGTACATTTTGAAGTTTGCATAATAAGAGAACATATAAATATTGCCATGAGGATTTGAGAAAGATGCCAGATGGTTATGTTCCGGAGGAATTGGAATACCCGCCTGAGATTTGTCAACATTATTGTGAGATATCCGTGTGAGAGGATATATTGCGCGAAAAAAATTGTCCATTTATGATGTGGTTAGTTGCAATGAATGGCAGAAGACCATGGAGATGGTGTTTGAGAATTCGAGTGGAAATAACCTGGCGAATGTATAATTGATGCATTGTTGTGGCATTGCAATATTTGGTCGATTTTGGAAAGTTAGAACATGGCGTGAGGCGCTTTTAACGGAACCATGCTCATAATCAAACCGAAATCATAGAGAAAATAACTATAGTCGAATTGTGAACCCTTAATATACAACTCACTAAAATGTTAAGACATCCAATTATTTAATGAAACAAGATATTAATATTGAGATATAAAATGAAAATTTAAATTAAGAAATGTGATTTGGATAACGTCTGTTAATTTACTTTTAGATTGTATGGTAAAGTCTGTTGATGTTCTATTGTACACGAGGTCGTGAAAGTGTCAGTATATATTATAGACGACACTGTAGTAGAACACTTTTGTGACTACAGTGTGACTACTGCGCTGTTGTTCCGTTATTCGCCAGATGGTCAGCTTAGTTCGATGCAGATGTAGAGAAATGTTGCGTAAGGTCATAAGAGGCGTACGTGCCAAAATTATGTTAGACTGAGGTTTCAAGAAAGAGTTACGCAGGAACCCGCAAGAAAACCATAATGATAACCCGACAAAAATCAACATCCGTCTATTGCTGATGTTACGTTTTTGGGCTTATGTAGCAACATAGTGTTACAATGTTGTGCGCACTTTTGGTCAAATACAGGGTGTTAGTCACTCACACAATGAAGATTGTCTATGATGGCTTCCTTAGTTGAGGCTTAGGGGTGCCATCTTGAGGGCCCTAAGGATGCTATGGCAGAGATGTCGGTTGAGGGTGTGTCCATTGGAATGAATGAAATTTTCCTTGGTTTACATACCCATACTACGCTTTTTATTGTGGCGGCTAACGAAAACAGGGTATAAACT